GCCCGAACTGGCGATGTCGGCTCGGTGGACAGCTGAAACCCTGGCTCGACACGGTGCGAAAGGATACCGAAAACCTTGGCCTCCGCTCCATCTACGGCGTTCGCCAATGGAAGTCAAACTGGATCACAATATGCGCTGATCTTGCCGCAGAACGTCGAGCGTGGGTAGCGGCAATTCGAGATATCCATGAAGCCGGTTTATCCTCTCCCAGGAGCCAGCCGCCGTAAAGTAAAGTAAAGTAAGTAAGTAAGGGATCTAAAACGGAGGGTTATCTCACGAATGTTGTGTTCGTGGACTTCAACAAAGCATTTTACATGTTGTCACTTACGAAACTGTTGGTGAAATTAAGGTCGATAGGCATCCAGTACTCTTTGCTCTCATGGGTTGAGGACTTCCTGAAGGACAGACTTCTCGGTGAAAGCGTCAGGGGCACGATTCACTATGGTTAGCAGTTTCCAGTGGCGTTCCACAGGGATCGGTACTGGGGCCAATACTGTTCTTGCTTTTCATCAATGACCTGCTAGACTGTTTCAAAACAACAGATGTTGTATGCGGATGATCTGAAAATCCGGAGACCTATCCAGTCGTATCGTCAGGTGAACACCCTGCAGAAGGACCTGAGTGCTTTGACGAGCTGGTCACGGGCGTATGAGTCACCGATAAATCCTACAAAATGTCACTACATGTCCATTAGCCGGTCGCCGAGTCCAACGGTGTACCACCTTTTGGACTCCCTTACTGGCATCTGCATGCGAACGGGAACTCGGAGTGCTAGTTTCCGTCTTTAAAAACCATGAAACAGACAGAAAAAGCCTGTCTCTTGAGTTGGAGAATCCTCGGAGCTATTCGCCGTTCCTTTTCCAGACTTACATACTGTTACAAGCGACAACAAACGAGTACGGTCACACCGGTCGAGATGATAGAGAGAACGAAAAAACCGGAAGAATACGATTTATTCGTCTAATAATATCGGTACATGGGCTGAAAACGAAAGGGAATGACGTGAGTAACAGCATACGGAAACCGAACAAATAGCAAACATGACATCCTCCCCGGCCGAGAGAAGGAATTTCGCTTAACAATATCGCTAAAGATCATCAATGATTTGTTTGGGAGAAAAAAGCGAAATAGCAGAATATAACTGTTCCCGAAATTGTAAGGTCTCGTTCTTTGTTGTTGTCGTAATATTTCTGATGCAGGTGTCGAAGCTAGGGAAGTGTCAAAAATCTCATGATTAAGTGAACTATCTATCGATCTTGGAGGAGAAGTTTCTAACTGAGTGTGTTTCACTGTCTGTCAGGTCACCATTTTCTGGTCTCGAGACGAGTGGATCACCCAGTGGGGCCAAGCGTCGAATGGAAACGTTTGCTCCCTTGCTATCGGGCATTTTCACGAGAGCATAATTCGGATTACAGCTAATGAGATAAAATTCGTCTACTAGGCTGTCGTACTTCGAAGTTCGGTCCATTCGTTTGAGCAGTACCAAACCTGGAGTTGTCAACCACGTCGGTATGGAGGAGCCCTTGGTCGAACACCGGGGAAAAGAAAACAATCGTTCGTGAGGTGTATTGTTGGTGACGACGCAAAGCAGTGGGCCAATAGAGTGTAACGCATCTTGGAGGACTGTTTCTCATTGAGAGGTCTGCAGACCTCTAGTCCTCAGTGACTGAGGTATAGCTTTCCATAACGTACCGTTCAAGCGCTCCACTTGACCGTTAGCTTGCGGGTTGTAAGCAATTGTATGACTAGTTGTCACACCTTTATTACGCAAAAACCCAACGAGCTTTGTGGACATAAAAGGTGAAGCGCGATCCGAGTGCACAAGCAGGCATGCCAAAAATAGCAAAAAATTGACAAAGACAGTTGTTAACAGTAGATGAAAGCATTCCGGACATACAAAAGCAAACGGGAGTTGAGAATATTCGTCAATGATACACAAAATATACCGGTTCCGAGAGGTCGAAGGTAAGGGTCCTTTGAAATCCATGCTTAGTCTCTCAAATGGCTGTGTAGCTTTGATTAGATTGCAGGAAAATGGCTTGAAAAAGCGAGATTTTAGCTCTGCGCAGGTAGTGCAATTTGCGATCATGCTCTTGATCTTTTCGATTGAATACGGTAGATTGCGCCTGCGTACAAAATACACCATTCGCGTTATTCTGGGGTGACATAATGAATCGTGCAGATCTCGCAGTTTTGTGTTGTTAAAATTAGAAGCACAAGTACTGCGAGACAGCGTATCAGCGACTTGATTATCTTTTCCGATTCTGTAGATTATATCATAGTGAAAGGCGGATAATTTGAGTCGCCACATCTGGATTTTATCGTTTTTGATTTTAGTTATCTGTCGTCGGTCATACATGAAGGCTACGGAGTGTTGATCAGTGATGAGTTTGAAGTGGGTGCCAAGAAGATAGTGCTTCCACTTGCGTAGGGCTTCTACGATCGTGCACGCTTCCTTCTCTACTGCAGATTGATGTGTTTCGGTGGGAGTCAGAGTGCGTGAGAAAAAGGCTACCAGTCGGTTATTCTGACTAAGTAAGGGGGCTATTGCGATATCCGATGCGTCCGTCTCAATAACCAGCCGAAGATTGTAGTCTACGGCAACAGTCAAAGCGTTTTCCAAATCGGACTTTAGGTTTTCGGATGTGTATTTAACGATCATCGGTAATCGGAATGTTTTATTTTTAATTAGAGGATGAATTTTGTCTGAAAAGTGGGATATCCACTTCGAATAGTAGGCAAACATACCGATTACTCGTCGAAGGGATTTTGCATCCGTCGGAGGGGGAATATCGCGCAACGGTTTCATTCGGTCAGGGTCAGGTTTGATTACACCATGGGATATACGGTAGAATGTCTTCGAGACTTGGTAGCGACGGGTTTACAATTTGGATTGAGGTGCGCAAACAACAGTGGTGACTG